ACCAATAAGAACAGGTTTGTTGGGGGAGGCAGGGGCTTTTTTTTCTACAAAGCCTCTGGCATCTGAAAAAAACAAAAACCTAATAGTTCTTCCCTACTTCTCAGAGGTGTCATGGGGATTAATATAATCCAAGTGTAAGTGCTTTAATAAGCATCATTATTAAAAAATCCCTTGCAGATGTTAGCATGCAGCTTGCTGAAACAGTAGATTCCCATAAGGCCTACAGAAACATAAATCACAATCCCCTGAATCCTACAGGTTTGTAACCTACATACTATAACTTTGGAGAGCAAGACCCAGAGAACCAGAAAGGAAAGTAGCAGAGACTAACATGGGTCCAGAATCCACGCTAAGTGAAGTCATCCCTTTCCCTGTCTAGTTTCTGGGATTCTAAGAAGTCAGTGAGTTCTGCCTTTGCAGAGGGAAAAAGGCTAATTGATTTTCCCTCTGCTCAAGGATTGCAGCGTATGGACCTTAGGGTTGTGAACTCCACCCAGAGCCTCTCCCCACGGAACTCTCCATTCAGGTCAAACACAGTGAAGTCCCTGCCTTCAAGGAGACTGGGATTCCTCTTGCTTCCATCTGCAAAATGCATAAAATACATAAAACACATCATGGCCACCTAAAGGCTTGATCTCATGTCCTGCTTATTATTAAAAGAATGGAGAGAAACTTGTCTTTAGGACTAGTGGTGTTCATTTGGAAACTAATCCTGGACTAACCCTGTCACATGCATGTGATCTTTTCTGAAGCAAAAATAACACATAGCCTCTGGATTTCCAGATTTTTCCAAATTCTAGAATATTCATTTTATAATAACTGCTAGTTCACTTTGGTTTGCTTTTATTCCTACGGCATTGGAGCCACACTCACCATGTGTCATTTCCATGCAAAAACTTATAAATTCCAAGTGCCAGAAGGGAAAACATTCTTTAAATAAGAATACTTTTGTTCATCATCTCTTTATTCCATTCAGAGGGTAACAGGACTATGATTATAGAAGAGAAAGACTGGTTCCCCCAATCACAAGCAAATCAAATGTTGCTTCAACATTTTGGGAACTCAACCCAAAGCAAAAGTGAAATAGGATATCCATATATATAAGCAAAGGTTTATTATCCCTGAAAATTTCAAAACGAGAAAGCTGCTTTTTGTTTCCTTGGCTGCCATCTAGTGGTGAATGATGCAGTGTCCTTACCTGTCTTTAAAACGAAAACAACAGTTAATTTTAAAAATATGATTTTCCAATTTAATCTCATAATTGCAGACATGAGGCAATTATCCTCTCTAATCATTCTTATTTAGATCTGAAAGTGGCATTTCCTTGCCTGTCTCTTGGTCTATGACATTCTTTCTCCATGAAAAGAAAATTGATTCAATCATCAAATGTTGATTTAGCGCTAATGCTGTGTACTAGAACTAGGGCTAGAAGGATGAAGAAGATGAGGTGTCTGCCTTCTGTGGAGGAGAGACAGGAAAGAAAATAATGAGTAACATGATGAGTCTTGAGGGAGACCAAGGAGGAAGCCTTGAACTCTGGTCTGTATTATTGACCAGAAGAGTTTGAGTTGAGACTTGTGTGATGAGTGGGAGCTTTCTAGTCAGACAAGAGGCAAATGCGTCTAGGAGAGTCGGAAGCTGTGTGTTGGGGAATGCTTGGAAACTATGTCACAAAGATAGGCAGAGGCTAGATCAAGAAGGACCATTTGAGGTTGTAAGAGGTAACTATTATAAGAACAAGTAAACAAGTAAACAAAACCTTAGTAGCATGCACCAGTCAGCACTTATTTCTCACTCAGGACTGCAGGTGGGCTGGGGTAACTGTGCCCTACGTGCCTTTCATCCTCTCCTGGGGCCATCCTGGGACCAGCGGGTAGCCTGGGTGTGTTCTTTTCCTGTCACTAGCAGAAGCACAAGAGAAAGAGTAGAAATATGTAAGGCCGTTTCAGACCTAGGTTTGGAGCTAGGAAACCATCTCTTCTCTGCATCCTATTAGCCAAGCACGTCACTTGGCTGAACTCAAGTCAAGAGCCAGGGAAATGTCCTCCTCCACTTCTTTAGTGGGGCAAACAGCAAAGTCACATAGCAAAGGACTCGAATGGGAAGGAAGGAGGTGGAAAATGAGGCTAATAATGTATAATGCCACAGGTTCCATCTTGGAAATGTCTTTGAGGGACTCGTAGATTTGTCTAAAAAGTGGTTGGAAAAATATTGCATAGCTCAAAATAGAGTTATGGATTTTGGGGTTCAAAGACCCCAAACATGCAAACTCCTGGGCCCCACCCCACACCAACTGATTCAGAATCTCTGATTAGAAAGATCAGGAATCTGCCTTTGAACTGGTTTCCCAGCTGTGATTCCTATTCACACTGAAGGTTGAGGATCACTGGTAGGTAAATGGCAAAATAGAGAGAAAGACAAGGAACAAACATCAAAAAAAAAAATTGGTGAAAAGAAGAAATAAGTCCCACACACAAAAAAATTAGAAATAGTGGGAAGAGAGACAAGGGAAACCAAAGAAGAATAGTGTCCAGATACCAAAGGGGAGAAACTGAAAATATAAGTGAGTGTTGAATTGTGTAAAATGCTGCCCACAAAGAATGAAAAAGCCCTTAAAATTTGGCATTTGGGGGAATATTTTATGAGTAGGATACAATACTGAGTCCCGGGATATCATCAGACCTGCTTTTCAGATGAAAAGAAAAAAAAGTGGTATGAAATAAAATGAAGATCCACATCTCTTGCATTTCTTCTTTCACAGGTCCCATATTGTCATGTGAAATTGATTAATTCCACATCTAAACTGACATCTCACCTAAAAAGTTAGTCTCAGGCTAATTATTAAAGAAAGAAAAATGATAAGTTTGTATCTATGGTTCTCATATCATGCCAGATATTATTGATAGCACACTACAAAGGGGCTATTTCTACTACATAAGGCTTTATATATTTGAAAAAAGAACTATTCCCTCATTTCTTCATTATTTTATTATGTATTTCCTTCATTTCTTCATTATTTATACTATAAGTTTTCTTAAGTAGGTCAAAGGATATCAAAGAGTGTATTATCACTAATGTTTGGATTTCTAAGAGGGACCTCTAGAACATGGCATTCTATTCATGTCACACTTTTTCTGAATGTCACGACTCAAGATCAAATCTCTAGTAGGTGGATACTGGGGACAGTTTGGGAGACACTACACTAATGAGGGGCCTCTCAGTGAAGAGGTTCTAATATTATGCTATCAAATTCTGACATATTCTACCCCACCCTGATTCATATGAAGACACCTTTATTTGAATGTGATTTGCTCAGATATACTGATCAATTAAAACATACACACAACCACACACACACAAATACATCCACAACTCTATCTCAAAAAAATACCTTGTAGCCTCATTGATCATGGCAGGGTTGCATGTAGAAAAGTTATTGCACCTGCTAGTACATTCATCCAGCTTTGGGGGAAGCCCTAAAACAGAACCAGCCACACATTTGGGACTAAAAGACAAAGTTGAGGGGCCCTCCATTGAGACCAAGAACTTCAGCTAATTTATGCCTAGACTAGTGAGTGATAAACCAATGAACATCCGCTTCCTGACAGCTTTGTCCACAGTGGTCAAAACCGGCACTGATTATGTGATTTTAGATTTATCTTTGCTAGAGATCCCCTTTTGTTAGCATTTTAATCGGTGTTTCTAATGCCTGGTGAGCATTACATAACAGTCAAGCCAGCATTTAAGCAGCATCTGCATATTTTTAAATTAATATTCGATTGTAGACCTAAAGTATTTCAGTTTCAGATTCTCAGAAAAGGGAAAGCTTAGGAAATGAATATATATATATATATATATATATATGTATATATATAGTAGAAATTATAATGAATCTAAAGAAAAACATGTATGCAAACCTCTGCCATTTTTCTCTCTCTAGGCTTTAAAAGTTAAAAACAAAATAAAACACACACATACATACACACACCTACACAGCTGGCTTGGTAGCCAAGTCCTTCTACATGGTCTCTCAGCCCAAGCCCAGTCATCTACAGCTGATTGCAGATAAATGAAATGTCACTATTATTTATATTTGACACTAAGAGTTAAGAGTATTCTGACAAACATTCATCCTTCCTTGTTCCACATCACCATGGAGTTTGAGAAGAAGAGACAATGGCTGTCACATGAGGCAGAAAAGGGTAGGGGTTACAAATGTGGATCGTGGCATAGACTGTGTGGGTTCAAACCCTGACTCTGTTGTTCATGATCATAGACCTCAGGCAGTTTACCAAACCCCTCTGCGCCTTGGTGTCCTGAGCCATAAAACGGAGCTAACACCAGGACCTCCTCCCGAGGGTTCTTGTGAGTATTAAATGAGCTATGTCAAAGAACAGGCTTAGAAGGGTGCGTGGCACACAGATAGGGCTCAATAATTATGAGCTATTATTCATGTACCCATAGGTTTCCAAATATTTTACAAAAGAGCACTAACTGTCCAACTGCCTTAAACTTTTGAAATGTCTGAGGTTGGAGGATGTCAAAAACCAAGTCCCAAAGCATAGGAAGTGAGATCCGTGCAAACTCAGCTCAATTCTAACACACTCACATCTAAACAATTGACACGTGGTAGTTAATTGTATCTCTCAGACTTCATTTTAACCTGGCAACAAAGCTTAACCTAAGCGATGCATTCACTGGAGAATTTTGATCTAAGGCAGGAGGGGAGAGGTTTGTAACACCCTAGGAAACCATGCACCTCTGGTGTGGGCTTGCTGTGCCTAGTTGCACAAACCTGACCATTCATCTTGTCATAGTTAAGTTTTACTGAAAAAAAGACCTCTGCCTCTCTCTCCCTAGGTTTTCTCTGATTCTGACTTTGCTGTCTGGAGGTTTAGGTCTGCAAACCTACAAAATCTGATGTCTCCTTAAGAAAGAAAATGGGGGAGGAAAAGAAAAACCCTCTCATGACTCAATTTCTTTTTTGATATTATTTAAAGATGCACAAAGCCTAGAGAAACTCCTGAGAGATGCTGTCATCTATGGCCAGCCTCGAACCCGCAGAGCTTGGAAAAAAATTCTCATCCTAGTGGAGGGTATCTACAGGTATGTAAGTAACGGAAGGCATTTTAACACTGTGAGGCCTGTAGCAAGCTGACCAATGGGGGAAGGCTGATCTTTCCTAGCTAAATGGAGAAATGAGTTGGATATGGATATTACAGAGAGACCTGAGTCAGAGCCACCAGTGGAGGCTGTTAGACCTTGGGTCACCTGTACTTTCAATGACTCTACACATTCGGTGGAGCACCTTGGAAGCTGGCATGCTTGTGAAGACTTCCTCAGAAATGTCCTCACATGGCATTGCTAACTTGCAATGACTCTTTCACTACCTTTGGCTGCCTCACAGTTTCAAAAGCCTTTTGCATCTGGGTTATTCAACATTAGAATGCCCCTTGCCTTTATGACTGTAATAGATGTTGCTGATGGACAGCCTGGATGGCCCTACCTGGACAGTGCACCCAAACCCAGCTGCTTGCTGAACCCCGCCATTGATTGGCATCAGAATGAAGAAGGCCTGCCTATTCTCTTCAAGTTAGGACTAACCCAGAGTACAGTTCTTGCTCCAGAGCTGGGCCTGGGGGTGGAATGATCTTAGCATCTGAAGATGTGCTCAGGCCTGAGTTTTCCTTTAAGCTGAGCAGAGGAAACACACACTAGGCCATTCAGAGCTGCACTTTTATATTGAAGGTTGTAATTGATTATTGCTGCATTCTCTTTCTTCATTTATTATCATTATTGAAATGGACATTGTGTCCAAGTATTTATTCTGTTGGATGCCCTCATCCATAAGCCGAAGAAACATCTCAGAGCGCCCACTCCTAAATCAATTCTTGGACAAGCTTGATGTTAGGGGAATTGAGGGAGATATTTGCTATGAGATAATGCTAGAAAAGTGAAAAACATTAAAAGAAAGCAAGCAAGGGTTGTTTAAATTCCCAAGAAGGAGGAGTGTGGCTGCAAAAGAGACTTGAAGAGAGACGTAGAATTTCTTTCAGCCCATTAATTTGATCAATTGCTGAGTACACACCGTTTCTGCTACATGAGTGAATAAATAACAAGCAGTAGCAGGAGTGTGCCTCCATCCCTTTTAGAAAAAAGAAGTGAATACTCCTAAATTTAAAATAATAAGCCTGGTATGATTTTATATATATATTTTTAACTCCAGTACTTACTGCCCAGCAACCAGTGGTCTGGGTGTTCCCGGTGCTACCGTAGGGTTGCAAAGTTGGCATTTCCAGTTTCTGGTAGCCCACTTACTCCATCACCTATCAATTCCTCCTATGATCAGCCTGAAGAGTAGGTCCTATTTATGATGTCTTGGAGGTCACTCCAGACCAGTGGTTCTCTGGGGTGCTCTTGCTCCTGCCCCTAATCCAGGCACATTTGCCAATTTCCAGTTGCCACAACTGCAGTATGGTATGACTGACCTCTAGTGGGCAGAGGCCAGGGATGTTGATAAACATCCTGTGATGCACAGGACAGCCCTCCCACAACAAAGAATTATCTAGCTTAAAATGTCAACAGTGCCGAGGTTGAGAAACCCTGTTCTAGAATAATCACTAGCTCTAAACTTGCTACTTCTAAGAAATAAGCTCATATTGACTGTGGATTATGGTAACATCAAGCATGGATCTTTCTCCTTGTGTGATTTGTGCCAGCTGCCAGCCTGGGAGGGAAGCAAACAGCCCTTATCTAAACACCTGTCATTCAGGCTTGGACTAGTGGGAGGACAGATCAGCTGAGGGAGAGCAGACTGGGCATCTCCTTTAACCAGAGTAAACAGAACCCAACTGCAAATAAACAGAACTTGGCTCCACTAAAGGGAAGTTAGGATTTAAACTCTTTGATCATGGCTGAAATTATGTGGACCACCAGCAAATATTCCCATCACCTACACAGAGAAACCACTCCAGCAGCAGGACTTGTTAATGGCTATGCCAGGCCCGCATCCCACCATAACAGAAGGACAAGGGAGCCAGGTGTGGACTGTGGACTCCAAGCCAGTATGGCTCCAAACCACAATTTAGGTTGCACTAACATTCGTGACTGCTCTGTTACCTACTGCCATGTAAGAAACCACCTCAAAGCATAGTGGTGTACATGACAATGATTTATTATTTCCTGTGCTACTGTGGGTTGTCTGGACCAACTGGGAAGTTCTGATCCACATGGTGTTGAGTGGAGGTCAGTGACGGGACTTCATTCAGCTGAGAGTTCGGCTGGGGCTGGAACATCCAACGTGACCTCACTCACACATCTGGCTCTTAGTACTGGCTCTCACCTGAGGGGCCTTGTTCTCTTCCACTTGGCCTTCTCTATGTATATTCTCTTCTCACTTGATAGTCTGGTCAGAACTTCCTTACAACATGGCGCTGGCTTCCAACAGAGCAAAAGTGGAAGCTCCTAGAGTTTTAAGGACTAGGCCTAGAACTGGTACAGCATCATTTCTGCCCCTCCCTATTGGCCAAAGCACCTGAGGCCACCCAGATTCAAAAGAAGGTTACAAGACACTATCTCTTGATGGGAAGATCAGCTTGTGTGCACAGGATGGGAGAGACTTGCAGGGAGCCATCTTGGGAGGCGATCTATGGCAACGGCTTAACCAACCTGGCATCGATACAGAGCGAAGTCTCCACTTTCCATGAACTTGACTTTACAAAGGGTTCTTTTTATCTCATCCACACAGGAATCTTATCTTTAAATGAGACTGTGACCTAGAAGGCCTTGTTCACAAATAGGAGACAGGACACCTCTTCAACAGATGTCAGTAGCTCTTGGGGCCTTAATTTCCTCATCTGTAAAATAAGGCTAGCCTAGAGTCCCCTCTAGGGACTACAGCCCTAAACCTCAAAGTAAAAGCCTTCATATCAGTGTTATAATTTGCAACTATACCAGAAGATGAGATTATTTCCCACAGGGTTTTCCAAAGGGCCAGGGTTAGGAAAGTGAAATCAATACTGAATAAATGTACTTCCACTTTTTAGAGGTATGTTAGGGACACATACTTTGTTGATAGCCTCTTTTAAATTTTAACTCCTGGACTTCTTTTCCCCTACTTGTGATCTACCACCATGGGAAAAGTACTTCTACTGTAGAGCCAACAGACATCAATTTTCTCATAAAATGTGTTCTGATCTGTATTTTCCTTTAAGTATTGTTTTAAGGTAACATTTTTCTAGTTTCATGTCTCTGAGAAGTATTGATTTCCTGTCAACTCATAGTGGTTGAGAAATCTCAAAATTATTCAAAATATACTAGGGGTGGGGTGTCCCAAATAAGCTGGGCCATAAACTAGACTACCTGAGCCCAAACCTGCAAAATAAAATGAATCAAGAAATAATATTCATCCTTTCCAAAACAAATACATGTATAAACATATGCTAAAGTCTCAGAATGGCATTTACTCTACGAATGTAAACTATTCTCCTCCCCCAAAATAATTTAGTTTAAGGATCGAGAACTTCAGTGGTAAACTATATCCTATATCTCTATGGTTTAAACATATAAAGGATAAGAAAACAGTACTTTATTTTTAATTAATCTTAACTCCTTTTTTCTCTGTTTCCACCTTCCTTTCTTGTCTTGGGTTGTACTAGGGGCCCACC